AGATTCAAACTTTTCTTATTAATGTACATTTTTGTATTATTTTCTTTCTGAAGTTATGCTGTCAGGTACAGGGGACCCACCTGTCTACAGATACTACAGATTAAATTCCCTAAGATTTTCGAAAATACTGTGGCACTCTTTCCCACCTGTCCTTTGCCCCACCCGTACAGGTAACAGACATTACACCTGGTTCCACACAGGTACAGGTAAGCAATTACCTGCGCTGATACATACAGGTGTGCAAAAATAACCACAATCACTACCGACAGATCAAAACCTCATCCAAAAGAAAATTATCCTTTCTGACAATCTCTACAGACGAGTGTTAGTGCAGTTGCCATGCCAACTAACCATCACCGTGGCAACAGGCGAGGTATCGAATGTCCTACAGCGTATCGAGTGGTGGAAGTCGCTCTAATTGGATTGGTGCGGCTTACGTTAACGGCGGTTACCAAGGTGATAATCGTCATGACGATGGCCACATTTGGGTCTGACGGAGAAAACACCTGCCCCGTTGTCGTGGTAACAAGGCTGGTCACCGACGGTTACGTAAATGTGGAAGAAAAGGCCTGGGAAGCGGGCTTTCCTTATTTTGTTGTGACAAAAGGGACGAATTTTTAAGTATCAGATTTCAATCTGTGTTTTGCTTTATTCCCTATGTTCTTAACAGTGTTTTGGGTTCAATATTTTGGTACAAGCCTGCCAGAAAGAAGCAAATGCACTAAACATTGAAGAAAAGGTCTGGGAAATCTACCCTCAGTTATTTTGTTGTGTTGTTAGGTGTAAACAAGGTGACGAACAAGTCGAGATATCAGATTTCTATCTGTGTTTTGCTGTAATTCCCTGCATTTTAAGCAGTGTTTTGGGTTCATTATTTTGGTTCAAGACTGTCAGAAGGCTGCAAAATGCAATAAATGAAGAAAATGTCTGGGAAACTGGCTTTGGATAATCTGTTATTTCGTGCTGTTGGGTGTAAACAATGTATGATTTCATAACATGAGATATCAGATGTCAAATCTTTGTTTTGTCTTCCGAGGTTGTAATTTGAGTATTTTGGGTTCAATTTTCTGGTACAAGCTTGTCGGAAAGAAGCAAAATTCAATAAAGGATTTAGAAAGGGCCTGGGAAAAAAGTGGGTTCAGCCAATCTATGCTAATTAGTCGTTTTTGTTGGGCGCAAAAATGGGGTGGGACAACGTAGGAAGTTACAGGATCAAATGTCAGTTTTCCTTACACTGTGCTCAGTGTTTTTGGTTCAATATTTTAGTACATGTACATGTACAAGAATGTTAGCCTCTACTAGGCTTGTCAGGATGCTGGTAAAATAGTAGAAATTGGCCGAATAGACCGAATACTAGTAGTATGCCAGAGGAGTACAATTTGGTTTATTTCTACCACTAGTATTTTCTTGTAAAATTTCCAGTGCAAAAAAAGCCTGATAAATTTCAGGTTGGAGAGTACAGTACTAGTAGTCAAATTGCCCTGCTCCAAATTCGATGTGATAGGCTCGATTTTAATAACCTACAATTGTTGCAGTGCCCTGGACTCAGGCCAGACAAATTGCTACGTTGTAAATCTCATTTCAGATGCAACACTGTGGCAAATCACCGGCTCGTTTGCCACAGACTGGGGTTTAATTGGGTTAGCCAAGCATTAATTCTACGGGGAAGAGTCGCAGCATCTAAATACCCCGAATCTGCACCTCTGCACACACTAATGCATGTAATTTTCCCACCGTCCACAACCAGTAATCTGTACTGAATCTGTACTGAATCTGTATGTAGAACAGGCTATAGTAGTCATTACTACTGGTACCTCAGGGGGACTATGTTTTGCTTGTTTCTGACAGTCCAAAATATTGAACTAAAAACAGTCATTATAAGATAGGTGAAACACAAAAATCTGCTGCGATTCTGCATAAAGAACAGGCTATGGTCATCATGTCCGTAGGCACAATGTAAGGCCAATTTGACACTGTCTTACTCCCACCAAAAGATGCTTGGCAATTTTGTAGTCCCTACCAGACTGCAAAGACCAGACCAAAATGCAGAATGCAGATGGGTATTTCGAATACTGTGCTGGAAATATAAGTGTTTTAAGAAATCCAGTACAAATCTAAAAGCTTGATAAAAACACGCAAAAAAAAAGCCAAAGCCCAAACCTCTGCTTGGAGAGTTGAGGTCTTGAAGACCTGGGGTTACCTGAGGTCAAGACATCTTCCTGAGACTGACAAGAATCTGACAGGCTTCCTTCCCCTGGTGGGTTTTTGGTTTTATCTGATCAGATGACTGAGTGATAAGAATGTGTTTTGGAAGCGATCTGAGGACACAACAGCCTAAATACAGGAAACAACCGACATGTACAACCTTTTACAACACTCTAAATACAATATTTCTGGTGTGTAACCGTGCTGTAGCTGTGTAATTCTAGAACAGAAACCAAGTTTTTAAAGATTGTTGACTAGTATTACACGGTGTGTATTTTGCTCAGCGATGTTTTGAAGCCAATCGGCTAACACAACAACCCTAATAAAGGAAACATATTACTTGTACAGCTTTCTACAACACTAAATGCAACATTTCTGGGGTGTAACACTGCTGTAGTTGTGTAGTTATGGAACAGAAACCGAGTATTTAAAGATTGTTGTAATAGTACTACAAGGTGTGTATTTTGTTCTGCGATGTTTTGAAGCCAATCGGCTAACACAACAACTTCCACACAGGAAATATACGACTTATATAAGCTACTAGAAAACTCAGAACAATATTTAAGACGGGAAACTCTACTATACCGGCGTAGTTTGCGAACAGAAATGATCTTAAGATTATTCAGTGTTGTAAAACAAGTCTCTACCTTACGTTTTATGTTTTGCTCACCGATGTTTTGAAGCCAATCGGCTAACACAACAACCTCCACACCGGAAACATACAACTTATACAGGCTCCTAGAACACTCAGAACAACATTTCAGACCAGAAACTCTACTATACTGGCGTAGTTTTAGAACAGAAAACAGTAAAGATTGTTGTGCTGCTATAAAACAAGTCTCTACCGTCCGTTTTGTGTTTTGCTCACCGGAGCGAATCGCACTAATAGCCCTTTGCCTGGGGGGACGCAAATCGGAAGGAAACACCGCCAAAATATCTCACGGTTCCCACGAGCAAAAAAAAAAACAAGTCCCACCCCGAAAAAAAAAAAACATGAGGTCGTACCGACACAAAAACACGCGCACGCACGGACTTCATAACCACCTTATCAATGGGTAATTTAGGTCGCAATAGGCATGTAAACATACTGAGGGTGGGGTATACACTGCTATACACACACACAGTCGCGACCCGCACTGTTTTCCCTGACAATATGGGTCTATTCAGGGCTATAAAGGGCGATGTGTGCCGTACTTTGTACCTATTGAGGTCCTGCAAAGCGGCGTAGGGTGGACAGAAAGGGGTGGTGTGTTTGTGTAAGGTAGTGGGAGGGTCCGTGCAAAATTTATGAATCACTCCGTGAAATTTGTCTGCGTGAGGCGCTTTGTTGTTACATTGTCGCGATTGTGTAGACGTAGCAAAAGATGGCCGTAGATCTAGAAGGAAAAACAATTGCTACATTTTAACAGGTTTCTGGGTCGTGTCTTGTCGCTTTGTGAGGGTAGATTGCCACAGTGGGAGTGTTTTTGTAGCCTTTGTTTGTGGCAAGTGAAAGTTGACATGTAGCGGACCGGACTGTCGCCATGACAAATCGCCAGGCTGACAGGTACGCACACTCGCCACACTGTCGCGAACTCCAACCGCTTTCGCTACATCAAACATGCAGAAATACGCCACAAAACACGCTAAAACTGCAACACAACGGGGTACAGTCCGATCTACAGCCGTAACCATGCCCTAGGCAAGATTAGACCAGCCCAAAGTGGACAGGAAGTAGAGGTTTACGGGCCAGACTAGACGAGGCCGACTTTGACAATACACAGCCGGTTCTTCTCCAAACATGGGCAGATTGGCTAGACTGTTTTGGTCCGAAAAGACGACGAGGGGAAAAAATTGAGGAAAAACTTGTCCCCGGTTGGGTTAAGGAAGGATTTACAGGGTGTATTTGCAAGGATTAGTAGCAGGAGAGGCTTTTTTGTGTTCAGTTTTGGCTAAAGCAACAGGGTGAGGATTTATAGGTGGCTAAACTAACAACATGGGGTGGTGGCGGCTTGGTAACATCAACAGTGTCACAGTAGGAAAGGGATTGGCGACATGTTGCCAAATTCCAGCCCGGACCGATACGCCACATTTGTAGCCTTTTCTCACACCGATACAAAAACCGATTCGCTACACTAACAGCGGATACAGCCACACCGGCTTGCTACAACACACCACGCCACGGTAAACCTGTTGTAACCCGACCCCACTTCCATGTAACCATGCCGTGTATCAAATGTTACACTTTGCTACACCTCATGTATCCCTACAACATCGCTACACTTTGCTACACCTTAAATGTTGCTACATACACGGACAGTGAAAGTATTCGTAGGCGGTAACGAGATACAGTTTACGCTACACAAGAACACAAAAGGCCGACCACTTGAGCGAAGCGCCCCGCACGTTACCGGTAAAGTGTGTGTGTGTTTGGGCCATGTAAAACCCGGCTCATATTGCTAACATGTGTGTTCACCCTACATGGGTTCTTGTAGTTGGAAACCTGAACCCAACCCGCGAAATAATTTACGAACATATACACACTTACAGATTGTAAAAACTACACGATAGGTAGCCTCCACAGCACGCCAAAAACTGGGGGTCTTCATGGTCTTCAGGATCTTTTATGTGCTATGTTCTGATTGCATATAGACAGCATAGCCGGCCTGGTTGACCCCCGTTTTTTTAGAACTAGGCTAATCAGAAAACAGCCGAAGACCACCAAACCCCCAGTTCTATAAGCCTGCTACGGAGGCTAAACATAATACACACACAATGCACTATAGGACCGAAAAACAAGGCATAGAAACTCTCACCTCTTCTTCTATGATGCCTGAGCTGGACTCCAGGCTCATTCTCCTTTCCGTATCCGTCGCCATACCAGTTTCACCGGGCCGTGCTCGAAAATCCTTCGGGGACGAAGTGAGGGTACCGCCGAGGAAGTAGACGTGGTCGTCCCGTTGAAATCCTAGATCCTAACGGGGTCGCAATAGTCCGAGAGCCGGTACGAACACAGCGATGCACGCCACCGGGGGTTGGTAGAGAGTTCTTCGGGGGAGGTCGCGAGTGTCACCGAAGCTGTAGAGTCAACAGTACGGTGGTTGTAACTCGGGGTTGGTTCGCTGTACTGTATGTACACTAGCGTGGGTATGCGTGTGTGTGTGCGTGCGCGTGTATGTGTGTGAGTGAGCGGGGGGTACTATGTATGTGTGAACGCTGTGCGAACGTGCAGGATAGAACCATGTGCGGTGTAACACCACCACTGTACGAACTGTACTGACTGCACTGATTTCTTCCTACCCACCAACCAGCCGCCCAAGCTGTCGTCCGAATATGACGTCATGAACGGACCCGTCCACTCTCCGCGCGGGGGCGCGCAGGGCAACACCTGGTTTGTCTCCAAGCAGAGGTTTGGGTTTGGGTTACTAGCCTCTACCAGGCTTCGGGAGGCGGGAGGAAAGAGTAGAAATCGGCCAAATAGAGAGAATCTCTGTTCTCTCCAGCAGACAAACTCCCCTGGCATGTTATCTCTCTATTTGGCCAATGTCTACTCTTTCCAGCCGCCTCCCGAAGCCTGGTAGAGACTATCAGCTACTCTCCAAGCAGAGGTTTGGGTTTTGACTATTTTTGGCGTGTTTTAGGCTTTTTTATCGGGCTTTCTCCAAGTGCAAAAAAAGAACGCCCACCGTAAAAAAGCCTAAAACTCCCAAAATAATGGAACCATTATACATACTTTTTATATCACACAGACCTCACCTCACCTCACCTCACCGGTCCCATAGCAGTCTGTCCTGCCGTCGGGGGAACTAAACTGTTCACACAGACACGCGTAAAAAAAGGCGAGATTTAGCTAAAACAGATCACTACTTTTCTCCTGTTTGTTTATTTGTTTACTAAACAGTTTTGTTTGTTTACTAACAGTTGTAACTTCTGCTGTAAACATGAGACGTGTGACGAGGTGGGAGGTTGGGTTTGTGATTGACAGCTCGATCAGAAGACAGATACTAGTAGTAGTAGTTTATCTGACAGGCTGTGTTCATTACGACATTAGCGGGAGGGTTGGTCTCCACTGTTAGCCTCCTGTGCAGGCCCCGCGGCGGTGGGGAAGAGTTTTTAACGCGTTATTTTAATATAGCCGACCATCCTGCAGCCAGGAAGAGAAGGTTCCATTCCGCCCAATTTCTACTCTCCAGCCGCCCCTCGAAGCCTGGTAGAGGCTATAGCGTAGCCTGTGACCGAGGTTAATTCCCATTGATGTAAATGGTTCTATACGAGCCTGTAGGCTGACCCAGTTTCCTGCCCGGGTCGTGTCCTGTGAGTCCCGCTCTCACTTCCAGTTACCCGGCCAGGGACGTTACACAAGCCACGGCCGCATAACGTGTTTGGATAAACTTTGGCTTTCGGAACCTGGTGATGACGAGAGTTGGTGACACCAACTTGGTGTAGCTGACAGCAGTAACCACCTGGCACCTTGGGATCGAGAAAATCTACATGTATAGGCTCCCATACATAGGCCTATAATTAATTCCCAAGCAGAGGTTTGGCCTGTTTTGGACCTTTTAGGCGTTTTGTTCGGCTGTTTACTTTTAATACTACAGTAGTACTGTCGGCCTTTCTGGAATAATCCTTGCCAACAAAACCCCCAAAAGATGTCCGAAACCGGTCTATTCTGGTCGAGACCAAGCCAAGTCAGACTCACGACCACTGCCTGGAGAATAGGACTGCCCTGGCTGGTTGAGGCTAGAAACTTCTGTGTACTAGCCTAGCAGGGTCCTCGGTGTTCTCCTAGCCTCTACCAGACTCTAGAAATCGGTGGAACTTGACCAGATAGCCAGATAACATGCCAAGGGAGTCGGTCCGCTATTGAGTACAGCTTGTCGCTCTAAAGCCTGGTAGAGGCTAAGTTGAGGCTCCCAATTTCCGGTGCCAGCCTGGGTCCTCAGTGTTCTCCCAGCTTCTACTATGCTTCAGGAGGATTACTGTTTGTGCATGCCGCTCTGATGGCTGTTAGAGGCTACGGATTTCCGGTGTCAGCCCGGGTCCCTGGTGTTCTTCTAGCTTCTACCGGGCTTCAGAAGCGGCTGGAAATAGGTAAAGACTAGAAAGAGGCTACAGATTTCTGGTACTAGCCCTGATAGGCCAGTTTCAGTCCTTGGTGTTCTCCTAGCCAGGCCTGTTCGAGGCTGTAGATTTCCGGTGCGGGCTTGAGTCCTTGGTGTTCTCCATTCACACCGACGCCCCGCGGCGCTCGCCTGCCACCTGTCAGGGTCATACCACTCACCCGGGAACACGGGGGTGGACAGGAACTGGGCGGTTAGGCCAGTATACCCAACGGAAAGCTGACAAAACGTACAAAAAAGCTTTAAAAAATCAGACCCAACTTCTCTTCAAGCAGAGGTTGGAAGAGAACATCGTAGCATTTTATGACACCTGTATGCTTGCAGCTTATTTCATTACAGCAGCCGGCTTAGAACAAACGAAGAGATTTCTTGGAAGAAAATATCGTCCAAAACAGGCTTTTAACGTCTGCTTGGAGAGTAGAAGGCAAATTTTATTACTCTCCAAGGAGAGGTTTGGGTTTGGGCTTATTTTTGTCGTGTTTTCAGGCTTTTATGCACAGGTATATTTTTTTACGCCAACCCAAGTAAAAGAAAAGATACCAGTTAAAAAAAAAAAGAAATCCCGATAAAAAAGGATTGAAAACACGCCAAAAATAAGCCAAAACCCAAACCTCTGCTTGGAGAGTAAAAGGCAGATTATAAGGTTGAGGTAATCTCCAAGCAGATCTTTCGGTGGCAAGACAGTATCCATTGGCCAGAGGAGTGTCCATTAGCCACCGGTTGGCTAATGGATACAGGACGGCCAATGGATACAGGATGGCCAATGGATACTGTCTTTTCCCACCCAACCGAAAGATCTGCT